ACAGTAAAGTGGCCGATACGCATGGCGGGGGCCTGCAGGTGCCCTGCAGAAGTGTTCGTTCCGTTGTTCTGCCCGACGTTGCTAGAAGACGCCATTAACGCTGGTGAAAGTTCGGTAGAGAAAGCCTTTTGAAACAAGTTCCGTAGACAGCGCCAATTGATGATGCACACTCCGACCACTCCTAGTTGGAAGTGACTGAGCTTCTAGCTGACGTCGGGCAAGAGATACCTGCGCGAAGAGAAATGAAGGAACTCAGGGTTGCTCACCTGGCGGGAACACTCCGATGCTTAAGTTAGTATTCGGCTACGAGCTGGAGAAGAATAACTTTGCAAGAAGATGAGAAAGCTAGAGAGTGGTGAATATGCAATACCTTGGCCCATGGGGGGTTGGAGTCTTTATATACTAACATTCTGGTAGGTTTCTAAGGGGCTGATCCCAAATCTCTGCCACGGCGATCTGTTGTCAGGTAATGCTCCAGAGTGATTGGCCATTATCGTCAGGACTAGGGAGCAGGTGGGCTAATGCGACCGTTGTATGGTACGATCCTGCCAGGCAGGGGACAACCTCCGGGGTTGGCAGGCACGACGCTGCCAGGTGAGAGACAATGAGTGCAATCCTCAGAGTTGGCAGGTGCTGCGCCGCCAGGCAAGGAACGTGGGTGCAACTTTCAAGTTTGACAGGTACGGTTGTCAGACAGGAAGCTTCTCGCGGGGCTCAGGGTTACTTGATAATGGACCCTATAGCGAGCTACTTTGTGGCGAGTTACTTGCGTTGAGCTGCTGATGGCACGCCGAGGTGATTTTACTCGAGGTGAGTTGTCTCCGAGGTGGCTTATTAGCCTGGTCTGCTGTGAGCTTGGTTGTTTTAGTCCACAAACTGGGATGGACTTGACCCGAAGTACCTTCAGCTCGTGACATTATTGTACCCGAGCTTGTTCAGAAGCGAGCTGATACTTGCTGAGTTGTCTTCTAGGCCGTGTCATGTCCATGTGCCGATCTACTCATGTCGAGTTGTCATTTATGTCGAGTCATGTACACGTGTCACCTGCTTTTGAGGTCGGGCCAAATCACCCTTCATCAATCCGTCTCACTGGAAGTGCAAGAGAGGTAGCTCTTGTCACTATCACTCGCTCTTGTCACTATCACTCGCTCTTGTCAACGAGTTTTAGTGGTTGCAGCACGCTGAAGTGACAAATTTCTTGCTTCTTATAACTGAGCCAAACGTTGAGGAGAGATTGGTTGGTTGAGCCACTACCACCTCCGCCTATAGGGACTCCTTTAATCCGCTTATGAAACAACTAACTTGGTGAGCCGGACTGAGACCACTAACTCGCATAAGTAACTTTTCGAAATGTGTATGGTATTCCCGAACCGTCCCGGTTTGTCAGAGTTTGGAGAGGTCTCCGAAGAAATCTTGGTTCTTTATGGGACCATAGCATTAGTGGACTTCTCGTTTGAAAGCTTCCCATGATAGCTCTCTGTGGTCCTGCTTCAGGAATTGGAATCACAACTAGGTATCTCTTTCAAGATGAACTGATACGGTCAACACCTTTTCTCCCTCTGGAACCCCTTGCCACTCGAAGATTTGTTCAGCTCAGCAAAGCCAACTCGCCGGATCTTCATATAGATATTAGATTTGAATATCTGACATATTGATCAGATTCGGGTTCAAATCAATATTTATGAGATCGATCAAATCTTTGGATCATATCAGATTTGAATATACCCTAATTCAAATATGATTTGATCTGTTTGAATCCCTACCAAACCACTTACCAACGATGACCTAGCTAATTAAATTATTAAACCATTTGACATGGTTAGTTAGGTCATGTGTAAGACATTAATGCTATTTATTTTTTATCCTAATTTTTATCCCATTTCTATCATTAATGAAAATAATTCTCATTAATTACACTTTTTTTATATGATGAATATATAATATTATAGAATGTACCCTAAATTATCGACAAATTTCTACATTTTTTAGAATGTTATGTATTTTATTATTTAATAATAACATCTATTTGACATGGACAATTTAACCAGTAATCCATCACTTGGATGGAAAAACCATTTTGCTTTTTTGGTTGATTTTAAATCATGTATTCCATTTTCATCATCGATAAAAATAATTCTTATTTTCACATTTATTTTTGTTTAATATGGTGAACATATAACAATAAAATTGAATCAAAATACTTTATACAAAGCTTTTTTTTGAGTTTATATATATTTATGTATGTATGTATGTATGTATGGATGTATGTATGTATATATTTAATATTCGTTACTTAGTTATTACATCATAGGTTGACCCATTTGACCCGGAATGTTAGATCATTGACATACTTACCATCTAGATATAAAAATGGTTTCATTATCATACTTATTTTTGTTTATATTATTAGTATATAATACTATAGATGTGCCCAAAATTGTTTCATATTATTTTGTATTATTATATTTAAAAAAAATATTTTTAATTATACATCATGGGTTAACCTATTTGACATAAAAGGTTGAACCACTAATCCACCCTGTAAATAAGAAGGTGATTTAATTTTCCATCGGTTTTAAGTTGTATATTTGATGTCCATCATTAATAAAATTATGTCTCTTTTATCATAGTTATTTTTTAATATGACAAATATATAATAATAGAAATGTGTCCCATTTTTTTTAAATTTTTTTTCTATATTTTTTGTATTTCTTATATTTCTAAATTTGTATTATTTATTTATGACATCATGAAATTATCCATTTGATCCAAATGGTTGAAATACTTACCCACAACCTAGATGGAGAGTATGATTTCATTTCTAGTTTTATTTTAAAAATATAAAATTTCATTCTATTAATAATTATTGTGTATGGATTAGTGGAATTTAATGATGATAAATAAAAGTATTTTTTATATTTCTAAATTTATATAATTTATTTATGACATCATGAAATTATCCATTTGACCCAAATGGTTGAACTACTTACCCACCACCTAGATGAAAAATATGATTTTATTTTAAAAATATAAAATTTCATTCTATTGATAATTATTGTGTATGGATTTATTAGTGGAATTTAATGATGATAAACAAAAGTATAAATGTAGGATTCAATGAGAGAGAATGTGATTTATTTAATGACTTAAATGTGAGACTTAATGATATGTAATTGAATGTACTTAATGGTATTCTTTTAATTACATTTTCTACCCTTTCAATAGAGATAAACTAAATTCAAGAGGAAGGGTATTTTAGTAAAGAAAAATTCCAGATGTTTTCTTATGGCTAATTTTGTAGGTTCTTGAATTTGCTATCGACTTTGAATTATAAGAGCTCGAAAAGGTCCTCTTTGACTGAAGATGTGTTTTTGTGATCTTAATCCACAGTTTATTTCTTTTGTAGTTTTCAAATATTTAGTTCTTAGACATGTATTATTACTTTGTGTTGGGATCTCATGATGTGCTTTGATCACCACTTGTCAATATTTATTATGAGATGAATAATTGATCAACACCCATTGGACAACAAATTGTGCTATACTGCTATGTTTGTGTTTTACATGCATTGATAGTTAAAAGGTGTGGCAACGTAATCACCTTCCAAAATCAAGCATGTTTTTAACCAGTCGTTTAATAATGGCTGAAATAACTAAATCAATTTCTATTGAAAACTAAGAAGTTTACATATTTTTAAATTTGACCAAAGACAAACCAAGAAAAGATCTCAAATTCTACTAAACAAAAACAGATATGAAATTCTATTAAATTTAGCTAAAGACAAACTCATCTTACTTGCTTCGTCAACACAACCTTTTCTTTAGTAAATATGGTTATTGTTTTGAATTGCATTTGATTTTTTTTAGTGGACTCCCTTTTCATTCAACATCTCTTTTTATGATTGTCTTGAATAAAAACTTATTAGCTGAGAAGTAGCTAGAGTTACCAACTTCTCCCCATATACTAAAACCCAATCTAAAGAACACAAGCCTTACATCTTTAGTTCAAAGGAGCTTAAAATCAGTTGGTGCATAAGAGGAAAAGGCCGGTTAAATCCTTAAATTCAAAGGCCCTACAAGGAGTCAAGTCATCACAAGTGCTTTTAAGTGCCTTTTTAGTCTTCAAATTTGTTTTAATATCAAGATTTGCAGTAGAAAAAACACGATATGACATATAGAATTAACAGAGATGTACTTTGGTCTTCTTTATGTTGAACTAAAAACCAGTAAATGAAACAAGCTCAGTGTACTATGCTATTTACCTTTCTCATTCCCTTGAATAAATTTATGGAATTAAAAAATTGATCCTGGAATCTGGCATCCTTGATCTCCTAATCAAGTCAAATTAAATTTTGATGGTTGCGGTTATGGAAAGAACATAGGTATTAGGTACATGCCCCTTGGATCAGTGTGTTATTTTTACATATCCATTGGACCTGATTGTGCATGTACTTAGAGTGGAAATGGATTTGATGGATTTCTAATATGGAAGAATAGCTCCTTCATTTTGTACTTAGATTTTATTAAGCGACTCTGAAATAGATAAAACTAGGTCTTGTCCTAACTTCAAACTCTTTCCCTTTCACGTTTGTTTGTTAGTTAATAAGCTTTGTGCTGAATGCTTGTTTGATTCTGAATATTAAGCACGAGAACATTGTTGCTCATCATTTCAAAAGACATGAATAAATTTCCACATTATGTCGTTTTACTTGTTAATCCTATTTGTTTACCAATCCATGTTTAAAATGGTGAACTTGCACGTGCCCCACCACTAGTTTATTTAAAACATGAAGGGAAGATTTTAGAATAGAGAGGAGGTTCTCAAGTACTTGTCAAGGGAGGTTTAAGTAATTTTCCCTTTCTCAAATCATCAAAACAAGTAAATAACACAAAGACAAATTGTTTGCAAGTTGCAACCCYCGAGTGTCTAGCGGGGCTGAAAATTCAAATGCAGCAAACCTGATCAAACAATTTTTCTTTGCAACCCCTAGATGGAGATTCCTGTCAGTCAAATGAGTCTCATGGGATATTCCAAACTAAGGGTATGAGATGCATTTCTAGGGGAGCTGAAGCAAGGACCAAGGAAAATAAAAAAGAGATAAGAGATGCAAGCAAGATTGTTCTAGCATAGAGTCCAAAAAGCGCCCATTGCCTATTTGAGGGTGCCTTGAATAAAGACCAATCATGCAAGATTAGATTCAATCTCTCTCACCCCTCCACCTCCCAATACCAACCATTCTTTATTTTTAATTGCATACGATCAACCTCCCTCTCTCTCTCTGCGTGCTCCATGGACGGAACGCTGTTACCCAGCAGGCCTGCGTTTCCCGGTCCGACAACAAAGACAGCACACCCAACTCCTCATCAGTTGAAGTTCAATCCAGCCACTCTTCCTCCCCCTCCTCAGTGTCCATCTCCTTCCACATCATTTCCTATTGATTCTCTCCTCCAACATCTCCTTCACCTCTCTTCACCTCCTAAAATCACTGCAAAGCCCAAAACGGTCATCCATCTCCAGACCAACACCGCCCAATTCCCTTCCCTATACATCTCCTCTGATGCTCAACAGAAGCTACCAACTTATCTTAAGAAGCCTACTTCAGTTTCAGTCCCCCAGTTTGAAAGCAAAGGAGATGTCGAGGTGGGTCAATCTGTGGATGCTACGCTTGAATTTCTCTCTGAAAAGGGTAAGTTCCTATTGAACTCCATCATTAAATGCCCAGAATCGAGTTTGCGTTCTTTTCTCAATTCTGTCAAGTCTGAGGTGCTTGAGGTTGATATCGTCAGCCTCCTCAAAGGACTAGAGCTGTTGCGAAATTGGGAGAAAGCAGTTTCTTTGTTCGAATGGGTTCTTTCGGATTCAATCTACCGGAACAACAAACTAGACAATCAAGCGATCGAAGTTATGGCTCGGGTGCTTGGCAGAGAATCTCAGCATTTAATTGCATCGAAGCTGTTTGATTTAATTCCCATTGAAGATTACTCCCTTGATGTCCGGGCCTACACCACTATAATCCACGCATTTTCTCGTACGGGAAAGTTTGAACGGGCAATTAACCTGTTTGAGCAGATGAAGGAGAAGGGTCTGTCTCCAACTCTCGTCACGTACAATGTCATGCTTGATGTGTATGGGAAGATGGGTCGTTCTTGGAACAAGATTTTAGGCCTTTTGGATGAGATGAAAAGCAAAGGGCTGGAGTTTGATGAGTTTACTTGCAGCACTGTTATATCCGCTTGTGGAAGGGAAGGTCTGTTGGAGGAAGCAACAAAATTCTTTAATGGACTGAAGTCACAGGGTTATGTACCGGGAACTGTTACTTACAATTCTTTGCTACATGTATTTGGAAAGGCTGGTATTTACTCTGAAGCCTTGAGCATATTGAAGGAAATGGAAGAAAAAAATTGCCCACCAGATTCGATAACTTACAATGAGCTTGTGGCAGCTTATGTGAGAGCAGGATTTTATGAAGAAGGTGCTTCTGTCATAGATACAATGACCAGTAAGGGAATAATGCCAAATGCTGTAACATACACTACTGTAATTAATGCCTATGGAAAAGCTGGGAAAGAGGATAAGGCTTTGAGCTTGTTCAAACAGATGAAAACATCAGGTTGTGTTCCTAATGTGTGTACCTACAATGTCATCCTTGGAATGCTTGGAAAGAAGTCAAGGTCCGAAGAGATGGTAGAGATACTCTGTGATATGAAATCAAATGGTTGTGTCCCGAATCGGATTACATGGAACACGATGCTTGCCATGTGTGGCAATAAGGGTATGCAGAAGTATGTGAACAGAGTATTTAGGGAAATGAAGAACTGTGGGTTTGAGCCAGACCGTGATACATTTAATACATTGATTAGTGCATATGGTCGGTGTGGCTCAGGTGTTGATGCTTCAAAGATGTATAATGAGATGACTAAAGCAGGGTTCAGTCCATGTGTTACGACTTATAATGCACTCCTGAATGCACTCGCTCGAAGAGGTGACTGGAGAGCTGCTGAATCTGTCACCCTAGACATGAAAAGCAAGGGTTTCAAGCCTAATGAAACTTCATACTCATTGATGCTCCATTGCTATGCAAAGGGAGGACACACTGAGGGGATAGAGGCAATTGAGGAAGAAATTTATTATGGTCAAATATTTCCAAGTTGGATGCTCATGAGAACTCTCATTCTTGTGAACTTTAAGTGTAGATCACTGATGGGTATGGAGAAAGCATTTGAGGTGCTGCAGAAGCATGGTTACAAACCAGATTTGGTTGTCTTCAACTCTATGCTATCAATTTATGCAAAAAACGGCATGTATGATCAGGCCCACGAGATGCTGCACTTAATCCGTGAGAATGGGTTGGAACCAGACCTTGTCACCTACAACAGCTTGATGGACATGTATGCAAGAGCTGGAGAGTGTTGGAAAGCAGAAGAGATTCTCAGAAAGCTTCAAAGTGCTGGAGGAAAACCAGACCTTGTTTCCTACAACACTGTGATCAAGGGATTTTGCAGGCAAGGCCTCATGCAAGAAGCACTGAGGACACTCTCAGAAATGACAAATAAGGGAATTAGGCCTTGCATTGTTACCTACAATACTTTTGTAGCAGGCTATACAGGGCAAAGAATGTTTGCAGAACTAAAAGATGTCATCAGCTATATGATGCAGCAAGATTGCAGACCCAATGAGCTAACCTACAAAATTGTTGTTGATGGCTATTGTAAGTCAAGGAAATACAAAGAAGCCATGGACTTTGTTTCAGGAATTAGAGAGTCTGACCCTTTCTTTGATGATGAGTCTGTTCAAAGGTTAGCTGCCCGAATTCGGGAGAATATGGAGTTGTAGATTGGATTTAGCAACCAGAGATTCATTTTAAATTCTGGGGTTTCAGGTATGACCTATCTTTACATGTATTAATTAAACTCAAGGGGTTGATATCTTCTTCAGGTAATGCATCTGACATGCCAGTTGTACAAAATCAATTTTTGAGCTGTTAATGAGAGAAGCAATCATAGATAAATGTTCTTTTGATTCTCTTAGTGGCCACCGACTGATTGCCACATAAGGCCTGTATTGAACCTAGAAAGTTTCCAGTCCAATTTCTAATATTGATCTGATCATTAAATTATGATAAAGATTGTGATTCTCCTTCAACTGATTATTTCAAGTTTCCAACTGAAGGTTGCCTAAGCTTCACATAGAGGGACTAGCACACTGGGGCATCAGAACTTTTCTCATTTAAAAGGTTCATGAGAGGGAAATGGAGAATTTATAAGGAAATCTTGCTTCACATATCTCTCTTACCATGAGCTTTCTTAGTTAGGTTCTGTTTGGAAAGTGCATAAAACCCGGTTCGCTACATATATGTACCCCAATTCACCTTTCCTGCCATTTGGTAAGAAGGTAAAAAATAACCCTCAAACCGGTGGAAATCTGTATTCCTGTCAAAGTTTCCCTCAGTAATGGCAGCATTTTTTTCTTTGAAAAATCAAAGGAAATTTGCTTTCTCATTCTATTGAGGGAAACATGCATAGTAAATGCTCTCATCTTCCCCATCATATTCTGTGGAACTACATTGGTGAGAGGTGCAAAGGTCGACAATGGATTCCTGTGACCAGCAAAATCTTGACAATCTGGCCTCTGTAATTGAGTTTTCCAGCTAGTAAAGTGAGGGATTTCACAATTGTGAAGCAGATATGGGTGAATGATCGCTTCCATCTTCTTCGACGGAAATGGTAGCCAAAAATTCTCATCTTGCTGTTCTTTTACCTTTGATCTATCACTACTAGACTGATTTTGGGGTTTTTATTTGTTATGTTTTCAACATCTATATCTCGATCCGTTTTCTTTCTTGGAAGGTGCAAGATCAGGGGGTTTTTGGGTTTTACCTTCGATCCATACCAGAGGTCTAGCCGAACCTCTCATGAGTTGTGTGTTTTTCTTCCCTCATATCTATTAAAACATGTTCTTATTTTTCGTTTTTTTTTTTTTCGTTCTCAGCTCTATTTTTCTTGTGGGTGTGGAGATCAGACCTGTTATTGTCCAACTTCCTATCTTGCTTTAGATGTTGGTTTCTCTCAGCTTTGAAGGTAACAAATTGCTTCCTCATGCTCTACCTGTTGATTTGTGCTAAAAATGATTTTACCTTTCTTGTTAGTTCTTGCTTATATTATATGGTTGAAAACCATTGAGGAATATCTGATGGATCAAAAATATTATTGGTGAAGTCTCTACCATGTGAAAAGCATATTTAGTTAATGAACAACAGAACAAGCATTCTCTTTGTCACATTTACAGGTTCATAACTCTTTTCTACCTCACCTCTTGTGCCTTGCTCTCATCTTGAACCTTCCAAAATGACTACCCCAAGGTTTGGTTATTTTTCCATGCTCTCATCTTGAACCTTCCAAAATGACTACCCCGAGGTTTGGCTATTTAGCAGTTCATGTTTGCATTTTAATTTAGATACAAGCTTCATATTATAGTCTCCTCCCTACTCTACCCATACTTTCCTTGAACTTGCACCTCATTTTAAATTTATTATAACATGTATAACTTCAGATGCATATGAAAGTTTCTAACTTATGATTCATGCATCTTTATCCTATTTATTTTATTTCTTATGGCCTCATGTTACCTTCTTCTCGCTACTCTACTTATACTTTCCTTCTACTTGCACCTGATTTTGAATTCATACATTTTTGCGCTATTTATTTTTCTTTCTTATCCTTTGATTTCAGATGTATATCATATTCTTTGTTGTGCTTTCCTTTTGAATTTGTTATTGGCTCTATTCATTTTGAAGATTTGGATGTATATTGTACTCTTTAGTTTTTTTTTTTCAATGCATTTTCAAATATATATATATATATATATATATATGTATGTATGTATATTCCTACCTTTTTCCTGCAAAATATCATTTTAGGATTAAAAAATTAGTTGCATATAGGAAGAAGAAATTTTGGTTTACTTGATGTTACTTATGGTTGCTTATTTTCAAATGCATGTTCTTGTTGTCTTTGCACTAGACTTTGAGTCAACAATGACTAAGCTCTGACTATAGTCATCAATTAAATACCGATATATATATATATATATATATGTATATTCCTACCTTTTTCCTGCAAAACATCATTTTAGGATTAAAAAATTAGTTGCATATAGGAAGAAGAAAATTTGGTTTACTTGATGTTACTTATGGTTGCTTATTTTCAAATGCATGTTCTTGTTGTCTTTGCACTAGATTTTGAGTCAACAATGACTAAGCTCTGACTATAGTCATCAATTAAATACCTATACATCCTGTTCCACTTTGATTTGTTGATTTTTCATCACCGAAGCATAGCAATATATCCGCTTGTTCATATTCAAGTAATCCATTTTGGTTTGTTGGAATGAGTAGAAGTTTGTCAACTAACACTCACGTTCCTGATATCTATGATTCGCAACCAAGTTGTAGCAAACAGAATGAATGCAATCCATTTCATGTCCTCCAAGTTATTTATTTGCCACTAGGTCCAATTCCATCAAAGTTTCAAGCAAGCTACTTTCTTAATCAAGTTTAAGTCATAATTCTTGACCGGAACACCACAAGTATATTCTTCAATCTTTTGAACAGACCTTTGTATCAAAGTACTCCAACGCATCAGGTTTACACATTCTCCACTTCACCCATCATAACTTCGTTTGATGAAGGCTCGTTATGGTCTTCTTGACTTCATCTGGACAATAAACAACCAGTTTGAATGTTCAGTTCTCTCAAGTCACCAGTTACCCATTGTTCAAAATCATCTGCTGGAATGTCTGTGGTACAATTACTGAAGCATTTGAAGCTTCATTTTCAAGATTATGAGAAATCTATCCTGTCAAGGTTTAAAGTATCGATACGTCTGATACACAGAAATAGGTGTATTGGGTGTTTCGATACTTCATAACTTTCTTTTTAGTTTTTTTTTTTTTTTTAATGTTTCAGGGGGTTGGTTTTAGGCTGCCTACCCCTTGAAAGTGCCCAAATTCTGAAACACCCCTTATTTGGGGTTTTGGGAAGCTATCGATACGATATGATATACCCAATATGGGCCTATGGTATCGAAATTTTGAACCTTGGATCCTATGTCGGTTTTTGTAATTATGCAGTCGCGCTTGACAGTCCAACAGTCTACTACCACAATATCAAGGTTGGGATTTCAAAATTCAGTCATTCTTGATCCTACTAGCCCTCACGGTCTCTATGGGTTCTTCCGCATAGCATAGATACACAAGCAAACGTTAACCATATTTCTCGGAAGAATATAGATGTTTTGATTACTATTTGCCAAGAAGCACCAATGTCTCTTCCTTCATTGATATATGGCCATCCAAACAGCCACCATATCTTTTAGTGGTGGTATGAAAAACAAGCTTCCTCTTTTTGTTGTCCATCACTATCGATCCATTGAGTTTAGGTTCATGAATGACTGTAAACGGCCATGCCTATTTTGTGCTACCATAATACTACACAGAACATTTGTGCTGGCGTTTCCATATCTCTTTGTTATAAACTAAGCAGATCAGTACCAATCCCTCTTTTTTTTTTTTTTTTAATCTATTTGAAGACTTTCTTGGACATTTTCCTTCCATTTTGTTGTATTTTGTTGCCTATGGAATATCAAGAGTACCAATGCTACATTTCTTTCTTTTTTCTTATATGAAGGCTTCCTTACTTTATTTGCCTTCTATTTTGTTGCAAATAAAATATAATTAAGTACAACAACCCTTACACTTTTYTATTCATATAAGTTCAATAAATGACCATCATTTTCACATTGAGATACTAGATCAGTGGTGCCTCATCCTCTACTCCAAGAGAAGATCATCAAAATCCTAATTCTTCATCAAGTGAGTCATTCTTTTTCCTTGCATAAAATACTTCTAATTTATATAGTATATCCTTATCCAAATTCAGCAATATGATAGGTAGACCTGTTCATGGGCCGGGTGGCCCGACGGGCCGGCCTGACCCCCGAACGGGCTTGAACATTCTTATAGGCCCGCGGGCTTAAATTCAGGCCAAAAAGCCCAGCCCGCAATAAATTCGAGCCGGGCTCGGGTTTTGTCAAAATAGTCCGGCCCGGCCCGACCTAATTAAACTTAAAATTAGTTATGTGATTATGTCCATTTGAATAAATTTTTTTACTTAAGAATGTAAAATTGTGTTTTAAAATATAAAAGAAAGGGAAAAATACCATCTTGTAGGCCCATTGTTCATTTAAATTGAAAAAAAAATACTATTTGAATTTTTAATTCTAATTTGAATAGGGAAAATTGTTTTTTTTTCTCAATTAGGTCGGGCTTCGGGCTTGGGCTCGGGTTTTGGGCTTTTTACCAGGGGCGGGCTCGGGCCCAAGTTATAGGCCCGTTAGTCGGGCCGGGCTCGGGCTCGGGCCTAGTATATTTTCATTAGTGACAAGTGAAAGCCTGGCCCGAGCCCAGCCCGACCCGGCCCATGAACAGGTCTAATGATAGGTCATGTGGATTTAGAACACATACGAGTAAGAAGATCTCGTAGAAATTCTTGGTAAACAAAGTTCAGATTATCATGGTGAAAGCTTAAGACCATGTTTGGGAGTGCTTATGTAAAAAGTAAGTGCTTATTGAATAAGTACTTAAAAGTAGGTACTTATTCGAATAAGCACTTATTTACATTTGGCATCCAACTTTTTCAAGTGCTTATTTAAAAAAAAAAATCACTTATTTTATATTTGATGTTTGGTAGTTAAGCACATGTGACTTTTTGTCCTTCATTTTCTTTCAAATTTTCAAAAGATCCAATCAAGTGAATGAATAAAAAGTAACTTTGATAGATTTGCTTTTGTAAAAATGCTTTTATAAAAGTGCTTTCATAAAAGTGTTTTTATAAAAGTACTTTCATAAAAGTGCTTTCGTAAAAGTGCTTTTGTAAAAGTACTTTTGTAAAAGTGCTTTCATAAAAATGCTTTTATAAAAGTATTTTCATACAAGTGTTTTTATAAAAGTACTTTCATAAAAGTGCTTTTGTAGAAGTATTTTTGAAAAAGTACTTTTATAAAAGTACTTTCATAAAAGTGTTTTCGTACTTAGCTTTCATAAAATTAATAATGTTGTTGC